GTAAACACGTACCAGAAATGGCTCGCAAAAGTATTCGAACGAAACAATTAATAGTTATTTAAATTGAACGATTAAAGGTTTTAATAGGAAGTCGATCCACCTTTTGCTTTTATAACAGCCCTAAGTCTGTTTTCCATTGAGTGGACCAACTTAGAAGTAACATTTGCATCTATCGATTGCCATATTTCGATAATATTTCGTTTTAACGCTTCTTTCGAAGTAATAACCGTATTTCTTAATCGTCTTTCTACTTCATCCCATAAATGTTCAATGGGGTTTAAATCGTGACTTTGCGGTGGATGTGGCACCACGTGTGGAACGTTATATAATACCCATTCTTTGACTATCGCCACATTCTAGCCGAAAGTACAATGAAATTAGGAAAGCAAGACAAATTGATATGTGACTTCAAAATACTAGATATTGCTACCACTAAAAATTGCTATACCATTTTTCGAAGTAATTGTATAGTATTCTATAGTAATAGTATCAGACTGGTTTATATTTAAAAGACTGTTAACCCTTTGCGGTCGAAACTAGTTTAATTCGAAATTCGAAAGGTATTTTCTAATTTTGAGTATTTCCATTGTATACGATTTATTGCGATTCGTGCATACGAAATTGTGCCTGTTGGCAAGTACAATAATCGCAATTTTAACAGTATTTCGAGCATAAACGAATCTGATACTGTTACAATTATTTCCAAAAATGGTGTAACAATTTTTAATGGCCCCCGAGAGAGTCGTAATTCGAGTGCAAAGGGTTAAAATTGCAAGTTTTGTACTTGCCAATAAGCTTTCATGTGCACGAATCGCAATAAATCATATAAAATAGAAGCACTGTAGATCAGAAAATATGTTTAAAATATAATTGAAATAGCTTCGAGTGCAAAGGGTTAAATTTCTTTACACCTAATCGTGAATAGAAAAATATCATCTCTTTGACTATTTTAGCGGTATGCTTTCGGATCATTGTCAGACAGAAACCAATAATCGCTAGGTAAATTCAAATTTGATACACTGCTTTTGAAATTTTCCTGCAAAATTTTTCAATATTTCGTTTTGTCCATTATCCCATCGATGAACACAAGGTTTCCCACTAGATGCCATGCAGCCCCAAACTAATACAGATCCACCGTTACGTTTTATAGTCGGTCGTAGATTTCGTGGTTACAATAAATTTACAATAAATTTGCAACAGCGAATAGGGAAATAGTATTGTCTGGAATCAACATTTTGATTTCCCTTCGCATGATAACAAAAATAAGATAAGAATACTATACATTTTAGTTAATGTATATAGATTCGTAGATTTAACAAATTCGCTGTCTCATTACAAATTCACAGTTGTTACCTCTTCACGGTAAATCAATTTCGTAGTGGTAAAATGAATCACTTAAATTTGTTAACAATGCTGATTTTCTCTGAACCTCCCTTCTTCATATCTTTTACCTTTATGTTAACTCCTAATATTTTTCAACTTTATATTATTTTATTTCACGTTCATTTCATATTCCCGTTGTCATTTTATGCAGTTACTGTATTTGACATTTCAAATCTTATGCTTGGATTACGTGTCGTGTTCGCGAGGCAATTCTTTGAACTGAAAATTATTGGAATCTTTCACGGTTTCGTAGAAAAATGGATAAAGTAATCACAGATGACACATTAACTCGTTTTCCTTACACTTGCAACCATTTTCTTCACTTCGATCACATTCACAAATTATGCAACGTAGAAAACTATACATATATCTCTAGGCAATTATTTTACGAAAATCAAAATGCTTTCTTCGACAAGATTAAAAACGATGCACTATTGATTGTTGTTAACATGTTTATTTTTCTGTATTTCACGAACTTCTACATACTGGAAAAACATATAAAGCACAGCCTAATGATCAACAAGACTGTTTTTTGCATTGATTAATAAAAATTTGTTGTGGTAATCCATTAATTACATTAGTTTCATTATATTATTATTATTATTATATTATTATATTATATTATATTAAATTATATTATATTATATTATATTAAATTATATTATATTATATTATATTAAATTATATTATATTATATTATATTAAATTATATTATATTATATTATATTAAATTATATTATATTATATTATATTAAATTATATTATATTATATTATATTAAATTATATTATATTATATTATATTAAATTATATTATATTATATTATATTAAATTATATTATATTATATTATATTAAATTATATTATATTATATTATATTAAATTATATTATATTATATTATATTAAATTATATTATATTATATTATATTAAATTATATTATATTATATTATATTAAATTATATTATATTATATTATATTAAATTATATTATATTATATTATATTAAATTATATTATATTATATTATATTAAATTATATTATATTATATTATATTAAATTATATTATATTATATTATATTAAATTATATTATATTATATTATATTAAATTATATTATATTATATTATATTAAATTATATTATATTATATTATATTAAATTATATTATATTATATTATATTAAATTATATTATATTATATTATATTAAATTATATTATATTATATTATATTAAATTATATTATATTATATTATATTAAATTATATTATATTATATTATATTAAATTATATTATATTATATTATATTAAATTATATTATATTATATTATATTAAATTATATTATATTATATTATATTAAATTATATTATATTATATTATATTAAATTATATTATATTATATTATATTAAATTATATTATATTATATTATATTAAATTATATTATATTATATTATATTAAATTATATTATATTATATTATATTAAATTATATTATATTATATTATATTAAATTATATTATATTATATTATATTAAATTATATTATATTATATTATATTAAATTATATTATATTATATTATATTAAATTATATTATATTATATTATATTAAATTATATTATATTATATTATATTAAATTATATTATATTATATTATATTAAATTATATTATATTATATTATATTAAATTATATTATATTATATTATATTAAATTATATTATATTATATTATATTAAATTATATTATATTATATTATATTAAATTATATTATATTATATTATATTAAATTATATTATATTATATTATATTAAATTATATTATATTATATTATATTAAATTATATTATATTATATTATATTAAATTATATTATATTATATTATATTAAATTATATTATATTATATTATATTAAATTATATTATATTATATTATATTAAATTATATT